ATGACGACAGGGTATGAGCAGGATACAGAGAGCTCCGACGACTTCAGCCCTCCGAGGGCAACCTTCACTCCCACCAAACCAGCGCAGGAGAAGCGCAAGGGCGAGGATCAGGTGAGAATTGGGGGAGGGAGCGAGGGAGCGAGGGAGCGAGGGAGCGAGGGAGCGAGGGAGAGTAGCTGCTGCAGCAGCTGTAGGAGGGGGAGAGCAGACTTTGGGGAAGGGGAGGGGGACAAGGAAGAGGAGGAGGGGCGTCAGCGCCAGCACCAGCAGCAGCAGCATGCGGGAGGCGTCGCGAGGTGCCGGAGCTGCTGCTGACTTGTAGTCAGGAGGAGGAGAGGAGCGCAAAGAAGGCGAAGACGAGCAAGTACCACCGGAAGTTGGAGAAGGAGTGGGAGGACCTGGTGAAGAGCGGGAGGATAGTAGAAGGTGACGTCATCAGCCACACCTCAAGCACTACTAGGATTCCAATCAAGGGGACCGTCACAGCGGACGGGAAGCTGCGCTGGCAGGACAACGGTGCCTCGAGAGTCTACGACAATCATGCTGGGCTCCTGCTGGGCAGCAACGACTACACCTGGGAGGACCTTCAACAGCGCTTCTCCAGGTGCAAGAAGAGCATCTACGTCAAGTCCTCTAGCGACGGGACGTCGAAGAAGCTCAAGGAGCTGCTCAAGGGGTTGGGCAAGAACAAGTGAGGTAGCGTGAGGGAGACAGTACAAGCACTGGCACTAGACCACGACAAAGCTCGGTTCTGCTCCTTCCTGCCACAGTGCTGTGCTACGAGGCTCATTCCTACTCCTCATAGTACTGCGGCAGCGTCAGAGACATCCAGCAGCAAGTGAAATCTGCTGCTCACAACTTGTACGCTCACAACTTGTACGCTTCTAGCCGCATCTCCCGGGCCTCCATTAGAGAACCGCTCGAACGAGTCTGTGAGCACGGACTCTACCTCCTTATCAAGGACTCTACTGGTCGACTTTCACCTTATCGATCGGGATCAAACACAGAAGCTCCTCTCCCTCTTTCCTTGCCTCTCTCTCCCTCCATCCCAAGCCATCCTCCCCCTCCCTTTCTCTCTTCGCTCCCCGAGCTCTCTCTCTCTCCCTCCCCCTCCTTTGCTGCCCCCTCCCACCGTCTCTCCTTCCTGCCTCCCTCTCGCTCTCACCTCTCTTGCTCCCTCCCTCTCTTGCTCTTCCTCTGGCTCCCCCTTCCCACATTTCCACCACGTCTTCTTCTTCGCTTCTCTGAGCCAGACTTGCGTTGTATTCACACTTTATTTACATCATTGCAATCTACTCGCATGCTTTCAAGCTCTATTTACATCGCTGATACCTCCTCAGCGTCATATCAGCCAGACTAGATACAACATTACACAAAGTCAAGATCTGTCAAGATCATGCTCTGCGCTCCTTACCGATCCATGAGCAATACTGTTGCTGCAGGTGTACATGCTTGCAAGCCCCTTCATCACACACAGTGTGCTGGCATGTAGCCTCGTCGACGTCTTGCAGCAGCTTCTTCGTCTCCCATCAACCCTTGACGAGAGGTGTTTGATCTACTTTCGATCACCCTGCACTTTGACAGTACGCTTCGAGTCGAGCCCATCCGATGTCCTTGTTGCTTCTCCTTCCTGTTCTGTACATGGCTGCCGCGAGTAGACGACGGTCTGCTCTGCTGATGCATCTGCAGAGCATGCGCTGCTCTTGGCTTCATCACCAGAGTCTTTTTGTCGCTGTAGCCCTCTGAGCGCATGAAGCCTCGCAGAAGTCGTAGACGGCGTCGAGCTGGCTGCTGGGAGGACAACAAGTCCACATGCATGCGAATGTTGCTAGAGGCGTCGCTGCCATGTTCAGATACTTGTAGGGTTGTTGTGTTGAAAGAAGTTGTTCAAGAAAACATGGATAGGACGAGCATTCAGTCGGGTAGCGTTGTCTCGGACTTCATGAGTCGAAGCATGTCGCGGTTGGGCAGCTTTGTGAAGGAGACATTGAATGGGTCGGCAGAGCAGCGCTTTGCTACGTTGGCGGTCATGCAGTCGCAGACGTATGCTCCGTCGGAAACCGTCATCCGTCCGGAGGCTGTCGTACGTGCGGATAGTGTTGCCAGTGGTCGTACTGCGTCTACATGGTCGGGGAGCAGGGATGAAAACGAACGAGATGATCCCGCCCTTCCCTTGAAAGCCAGTTTTCGTGACATCTTGGAAGAAAACGAGCAACTACGCCGGACATGTAGAGAGCTCAGGTCGGTGGAACAGAACAACATGGATAAGATGCACGACCTTATAAAGGCACTTGCAGAATCCCAGCGAGAGAACCGCAAGCTCGCTGAGGAGGCGGCGGAGATGCGGGCCCAGCTTTGTGAGCGGGATCGGGAACCCGAGGTCAAGCCTACTAAGCCGAAGCATGCGGAGAATGACGGTGGTCAGATTTGCAAACTAGATCCGAAGTCGTTGCTGCAGTACAATGGCGAACAGACAATGGAGAGATCAATCGTCTCATGGATTGGGTACCTGGAAGGCAGATGTAAATTCCACCGTATTGCACGCCACAGGTGGGTAGGTGCCGAGAAACTCGAGCGTCACGTGCAGAAGCAAGGCAGGCAAGGGCCCAGGGAGACCGTTGAAGCGTGTTCTGCAAGATTCCAGGCGATGGTTACACACCTGCAGGCGTGCTACCTTGTGTCCAAGAGACCTAGTGTTGCGCTGCTTATAGAGCGACTGGGTCAAGATCATGGAAGAGAAGGCGCATTATGCTTCAGAGCCTGGTGCACGGTTGTGAATCAGCTCACTCGATCTGGCGAAAAGTTTTTGGCAACTCGAGTTGGACGCCGCTCGAGGAAGTACACCTGTTTCATCACGAAGTTTGGGAAATATCAGTATCGAAGGATTCCTTTTGGCTTGACGGTGGACTCGGCTAATCAATTTCAGAAATTTCTCGAGAGTGTTCTTCAAGGTCTCGAGAATTGCCTATGCTATGTCGACGATGTTTGCTTGATCAGTTATGGAAGGACATCACACATGAGGTCTTAGTTCGAACGTGACAGGCTCTGGATCGATTCCGTAAAGAGCAATTGTTTGGGAAGAAGTCGAAATGTAAGCTGTTTCACTTTGAGATTGATTTCCTCGGTTTCCACATCAGCGAGGCAGGAGTTTCGACACAAGAGAAAACGGTACAAGCGATCGTGGATCGTACGGCACCTCAGACAGTGAAGGAACTCAAGTCGTTTTTGGGAGTGTTGTCGCACCAAAGAGCTCTTTGGTTTCTTGACGGGATCACTTCGTGTGTCAACACTGGATCGAGAGATACTTGTAGGAAGTTTTCCTAACACGTACTCAAAGTTGAGAGTCGGTTAAATCAGAACGAGGCTCGACTCACCGTCACAGCGGCCAACTCAAGTCTAGACGTTCCCTGTGGGAACGGCATCAGATTTGAACAGAAAAAAACAAGAACAAAGAATGACAGGCTCATACTTGCTTGCGTCCGAGGGCAACCAGCCTCTGGAGGCAATGCACATTGTTTCTTCACGTAAAAGAATATGAACACCATGGTGCTTAAAGTGCTTATTATATCGAAAGCCAACAAACAAACGAAGATTGGTATGATGTCACAGAATATTCCACGGTTGAAGCTGATGACGTCCACATAAAGACTGTAGATGCCCAAAAGTAGGGAGATAAAGGTGTAGCATACCCTGCATTGCCAAGGTATAGTACAACCCGCGCAGCCTTTATCATCATCCGTGGCATCATCAGCAAGTTTGGCGGAATACACGGCACAATGAAGTAACATTTGCACAATCTCTAACCCTAAATTCCATGGCACAATGTATTGGATTGCAGCACATTCTTCATTCTTCATCAGGGTTGGGACAACCATTCCTAGGCCTAACCCCAAGAGCAGAACAAGAGAAAATGGTTTGCCAGTGGATGCTTGCAGGAAAATGGTCGAACAGATACCCAACAATGCAAATATGGCTGAAACCATCCTTTGAATCACATACGAGTCACGAATATTGCAATGCCCGAAACTCTCGTTCTTTGTGTCAGGCTTGAGTATGACCTTTTTGCCATCAACTAGGGAAATTCTGTTCATCTTTTTTGGAACGCATCCACTGGAAGCTGTGTTGTGAACCCATGTAAATCTCCTCATCATACAACCATCATCCTTGCGGCACAAATGAAAATCAGAGACGTTCAACAGAAGATTATCATCAGCTTGACAGCTTTGATTGCTGCTCAAGTAACATTCGTCTCCATTCTTGCACCATACCATAGAGTCCTGAGAGATGGATTCGTCAGAATACATTGTGCCTTCCGCTGTAGACTGACACCAAAACGAACACCCCTGCAGTACCATACCACAATCCTTTTCACACCGACATTGCTCCAGTTGTCCATCGAGTGTTCTAAAGGATGGCCATGATGCATGATAGCAAGGTAACGTGTTTTTGTCAAATTCAAAACCACAAGAGAGGACAAGCCAGCAAATGCCATAGAAGATATACATTGGAGACTATTGTTGTTGAGATAAAGATACTGCAAGTTGGAGAGCTCGTCAAAGGTTCTGTTAGTTATGCTCCGAATGCCCTTGGAATCCAAGTGCAAACTTCTGCTTTTATACCCCCACCGATCACTTCCACAGTCAACTCCACAGCTCCCCTCTTTTGACAACAAACCCTCATCTGAAATATGGAACGTACAGTTCCCACAGCGCACACTGGCACTGCTTTTACTCTCAGCCTGTGGGCACCATGACATCCAAACCCCTTGTACTGTCCACAACACTTTGAACACTCTCAGCATTCTCGCCATGCGCCCTCTTTGACGGATCGTCCCAGCACACTACGATCAAGTTGACTACCCAACCGTTTGCGGGTGATCGCTTTATCCATTGCACCCTTTTACTCAAAGTTAAGTTAAAAATCAGTACGAGGACAATCAGGAGAGTCGAGGAGGCTTGACCTTGACACTGCCGCACAGGCCAAACGGCGAGAAGAGAAAAGACAGCGAGAACCAAACCCAATCCTGCCTCAGTGACTGCTGTCCCCCAAACTTAAGTGATACCTTCCTAGACGGCTGAGACGGTTCACTTAACTGCACAGTGCGGCCGCCTCCGATCGGCCGCCTCCGATCGGACGGAGTCCACCGTGACATAGGCTAAACCCTAAACCCTGGAGAGTCAGGGCCATCGCCGGTGTGTCAGAACGGTGCATTCGGGGCGCGCCGCGGGGGCGCGGCCCTCCCGGGCCCCGGCGGGGGGACGCCGGCTCAGCGGCTGCTGGCAGTCACGGTGCCACTGGGCCCGGCAGGCCCGGCCAGCCCGCGGCTGAGTGACTCTGTGAGTACCAGTTGGCACGGGAATAGTCCGTCGGATCCGGCGGCGGGGCCCCCCGCCGGCGGCCGCCACCCGCCCGCGGAGTCCGATCCGCTCGGACCGTGACTGCCGACGGCGGGGGGGTGGTACTAATTTGAAGCCCGGCCCGGGGGACGGCCGCCTCCAGCCTCGCCGGAGTGGCCCGCAGTGAACCGTCCGACGATCTGGCCTGTACATGGCCCGCGGGGTCAGGCCGCCCCACGGCCCGGGCCAGGCCCCCCCGCGTACGCACTGAGTACTACAGTAGCGGCGGCGGCGGCGGCGGCGCCGGGCCCCGGCCCCGGCGGCCCCACTGAATTAAGAATATGGAATTAAGAAATTAAGCTCAGGATTAAGAAAGAGGGAGGTGGATTTAGAAAGTGACACCTGTCCGCGTTATGGAGGGAGGGGCGACAAAGCAGAGAGGAAGAGGATATGAAAGGAGTGAGGAAGAGAAGATGACAGAGAGAAGATGAGTAGACGCTGCAGAGAGGAGGGAGAGAGGAGAGATGAATGGTACAACGAGATAGAGGAATTTGCTAGGGACGGCGAGAAGGGATCTGAACGCAATGAGAGGGTTTTTGTACATGAGACAGAAACACAGCGCAGATGTAGGGGGGAATGAAGACATTCTCATGTTGTTCTTCTTGATGGATATCATGAGAATGATGCTCAGGCAGAATATTGCAGTCTTCACTTCTTTAGTGGGATCGATCTCATTTGAAGGCTTGAAAGTATATGGTTAATCATCTCATACGAGCATGCCTTTTTTTTTTTGATTGTTGTTAGAGCAGTATGTTGGAACGTTCCCTTAATTCTTTTCTTATTTCCACCTACAGGCAGCAGGGAAGATTCGTCTTGAGTCTCCAGTGCATTTGCCTACACCTCTTGCCATCGCACATCGTCTGAGCAATGGATCATCTGCTGGGTTTGGTCGGCGACGGGTACGCTCTCGTTGCAGCTGACCGCAACGTGAATCACTCGATCATCGCGGTGAAGCACGACGAGGACAAAATCCTCAAACTTGACAATAGCAAGCTGTTGGGATGCGTTGGTGAGCTGGGAGACACCAAGAACTTCTCCGAGTACGTCCAAAAGAACATGGCCCTCTACGCTCTCAGGAATGGCTGCCACCTGAGCACGCATGCTGCTGCTCATTTCGTCCGCGGAGAGATCGCGCATGCCATTCGTCACTCCCCTAAGATGTGCAACATGATTCTTGTGGGGTTTGACGGGGACAGCGGCCCCAGCCTGTATCACATCGACTACTTGGGAGGCATGCATAGGATGAACTATGGAGCCCACGGCTATGGCGGGTTCTTTGCTTCCTCCCTCATGGATAGGTGAGCGGCTTCCTTGGTTCCTTGTGTCTGACGTGCAGCAGATTATGGCGTCCTAACATGCCGCTGGAGGAGGGGATCCAGCTCATGAAGAAGGCGTTCGCCGAGATCAACCAGCGCTTTCTGGTTGGCGGAGCCACCTTCACTCTGAAAGTGGTGGACAAGGACGGGACTAGAATCATTGACCTGGGAGAGCAGAACAACAGCATGCAGACATGAAAGGACTTGGACGTGTGAGATTTACAATGAGATGTTGGGATTGCGGCGACCGTGCCGAGTTTCAGCAGTGCGCCATTCAGCAAGGTTTAACTAGATTCAAGCTCGTACAATCGGCATCAATACAGGAAAAGGGAAACCGAAAGCGAAGCTTGTTGATTCCTCTCTATCTCTCTCCCTCACTTCTGGAACTCTCCATCAAAACTCGTGAAGCCCGCAAGCTTGAAGATGGGATAGAATGGCTGCACCGACAGTCAGTGACCGCCGCGCTCTCCTCCCTGCATCCTCCCTGCCCTCCCCTCCCCGTCTCACCTTCTCGCTGATGTTGGAGCACCAGTGCCATGCCGACGTCAGCCGACCATCTATGCATGAGCCTGTGCGGTATGAGATCCGACAACCTCCTCCACCATCTCACCAGCATCGTAGAAGTTGTCAGCTCCCGATCCGTCGAAGGCCGAGCTGTACAAGTGTGAGGGAGAGATGGGACGAGAGGGAGGGAGAGGAAAGAAGGGAGTGGGAGGGATGGGTGGAGAAGGAAGGAAGGAGAGGAGGGGGAGTGGGGGAGTGAGTGAACGAGTGAGGGAGGTCACCGGAAGAAGTCAAGAAGGATATCTTTCTGGAGCTTCTCGGGCCCTCCGAAGGTTGTGCGGATGTAGCTCTCGATCTGCTTATCCGTTAGCCCTCCCACACTTGCCTTCTGCTCCATCCCCTCCCCTCCCCCTCCCCCTCCCCGTCCCCGTCCCCCTCCCTTGCTGCTGCTGCTGCTAATGCCTTTCCCTTCCCCTTCCTTCCAACCTGCGGGTTCTTGCACAGCTCTGGGATGTTCCTGAGGACGATGACGATGGGGTTCAAGATACTTGCTACCTGCAAGAAGAGTGAGGACGGAAGGGGAGGAGAGCCGGTACACGGTCAAGGGAGGAGGGAATAGACGACAGCAGGTCTAAGGAGCAGGGAGGAGGGAGGAGGGAGGGAGGAGGGAGGAGGGCACCTGAGTGTACTTGTCGATGAAGATGAGAGCGTTGGGGACGTTGTTGTCTCCGAGATGAACGACGGAGGAGCCGATCCAGGAGCCAACGCGCTGCTGAGTAGAGTGAAGGATGTTCCTCATGGCCTTGGAAACTCTTGGGGCGGCTTGAACCCTCTGAAAAGCTAGTGAGAAGGGGAGGAGGAGGAGGAGGAGAAGAAGGGGAGCAGAAGGGGAGGAGGGAAGGAGAAAAGCAGGAGGGGAGGGAGGGGCGGAGACAAGCGACAGGAAGGGGCAAGGAAGTGGATAAAAGGGAAGGGGGAAAGGGAGGGAGGAAGAGTAGTTCTGCCGAGGAGAGGAGTGAAGTGAGGTAGCAGGGACCTGCAAGCCTTGCCCTGTGTCCTTGAGGTCATAACGATTGTCTGGACTCAGCAGATCTTCTTCGGCGAGGCACCAGAGGCTGGAGGAGCGAAAGTGAACGACAGCGAAGAATCAAGAGATTGACGGAGAAGGGAAGTCGACAGGAGTATGCGAGGAGGAAGAGGAGGAGGATAGATACTGAAGTAGTGAGCAGGAGGAGGGGTAGTCGGATGATGATGATGATGATGATGAGGAGGAGGAGGAATCAACCGGAACATATCATGAGCAATCTCCTTCCACAGCGTGAGGGACTGAAGGACGTACTGGTACTGCTTGGCATGGCTGCAAGTTCACCTTCAGCTCTGCTTCCTCCCTTCCTCCCGACCCACCTATGCGACAACCTCGCTCCTCCTGCCCCGTCGGCGATCGACAGGTCGTAACCTTCCTCGATTCTGTCCGGGTTGAACAAGGTGGTCTGAATGGGGACGTCAGCGAGAGAGGAGGAGGAGAGGACAGCAATGATGTGCGTGAGGACGGCATGTGGAAATGAGAGGAGAGGGAGGGGAAGGAGAGGAGTGTGGGAGAGGAAGGTGGAAGAGGAGGTGGAGGAAGGAGGCAAGAGAGGGCGAGGAGAAAGGTGAGGGGGACAGGGAGACAAAAAGCGAAAGGGAGGAGGACGGAGGGAGTAGGGAAGGGGAAGGAGGAAGGAGGAGAGAGCAGGGGAGGGAGGAAGAGGAGGGAGGGAGCAGGGGAGGGAAGGGAGGAAGAGACCAGGTAAGTGATCATCTTGTTGACTGGATCTCGGTTGGCAGTGAGGAAGCTATGGTTGTCTCCGATGGAGTATAGACACAGTTGAATCTCCTCCGCCTCAATCCTGGCCCAGCTCGTCACCAGCTCCCCCTGCTCCCCACCTTCCTCTCCACTCTCTACTCTCTGCCTGCCCTCCTGCCTGCACTCCCTCGCTCCTCCTCCGTTCCCCTCCCGCCACTTCACCTCCACCTCCTCCTCCTCACCTCTTGCTGGAGTATTTCTGCGCGAGGTGCTCGATCGCACGGTGTTTCTCCATGCTCTCTCGGTTCAGTTGGTTCCTCGACTTCACCCCGTCCGCTAAGATCTCTCGCGTCGCTACCGTGATCAGCCCGTCCTTGAGAACTCCCTGCCGGCCATCCTTCACCTCCTCCCCTCCCCTCCTCCTCTGCATCCTCCGTCCCTCTGTCCCCTTCCCTCCTGTTTTCTTCCTCCCTTCCTCTCACTCGTCCCCTGCCTACTTTCTGTTTCCCTTCCTCCTCTGCTCCCTCTTCCACCCTCCTCGTCGTCACCGACCTCGGCTCCGCGCTCTTCCAGGTAGGAGAAGACAGTCTTGAGGGGACGCACACAAGAGATGTCAAGGAATTGCTGAACCTCCTGAGAGCTTGAATCCTGCAGCTCATCAGCCTCTTCCTCCTCCTCCCTCCTTCTCTCCTCCTCCCCCCTCCTCTCCTCCTCCCTTCTCTTCCTCCTCCTCCCTTCTCTTCCTCCTCCTCCCTTCTCTTCCTCCTCCTCCCTTCTCCTGCTCCTCCCCCACCAAAAAATTCTTCTCTTCCTCCTCCTCCTTTACCCATCTTTCCTCGCTGCGTCTATCATCCCCTTCTTTCCTCCTCCACCCCCGCCTCCTCCCTCCACCTCATCAGCATCCGCAGCAACTTACTTGCAGCATGTAGATCAGCTTCCCGTACTCCCCGCGCATCTTTTCCGGATTCATCACCTGGTTGTCCCGTCAGCAGGTAGCAGCGGAGTTGGACCGGAAAACAGTGGAAGGAGGAAGGAGGAAGGAGGAAGGAGGAAGGAGGAAGGAGGAAGGAGGAAGGAGGAGGATGACGGTGTGTGGAAGGTGTAAGAAGGACAGAACAGAGGGAGGAGGGTAAGGGAGGTATACCTTGTGTCTTCTTCCGATCTCTAGGATTGTTTGAAAGAATTCCTTCAGGACAATTTAGGTGACGTGTGTTCTCTTCCCCCCTCTACACTCCCCTCTTCTCCTTTCTATCCATAATCCCTCGCCATACATCCCAATCTGGAAAAACTAAGCACCTCCCGATTGTGTTCCCATCTGTGTCCTCGGACACTGAGGACCAAACTGAGAACAAGCTGAACAAGGACCACTACTGAGGGTAGTAAGGAGAAGCCGGCGTACGAGGATGGAGACA